CGCAGACTGGCTGTGATACCAAACTGTAACACCCCACTTTGATTTTAAAGAAATTCCGGACTTTCCAAAAACCAGTATAAAATTTTTCGAACTCATTTTCGAAAACATGGGCATTATACAACATTTAACATCAACCAAGTTGTATCTGGTTGTTCACATTGTTTTCATTAACCTTTTTAAAATTCAATCCACATGATTATTAGCTAAACCACATAGCATGCATAATCGAAAACACATGATATTCCATAAATAACTCTCATACGAATATCAAACAAAGGGTCCAAAATCCCGACACGGACAAGTTTGGAAACAGTTCAACATGTCTCAAAGACTACACTTTATTCATAAAGGAAGCGAAATCATAAACATAATGATCATGACCAACCCACTCGTCTTTTCCCTGTCATCCGGCACCTGCTTAACCTGCATCCGTGAAGAGCAGGTGGGAGTGAGCACAAGATAAAAGTAGTGCTCACTACTATGCACATAAATAACATATGTCAAATGGTATGGTCGCAGCATGAATACAAGATAATCACATCATGTCTCATCTCCTATCAAAATCACAACAACCACATTACTCATGTGCACATCTATCGCTAGCCACAGAACGAGGATTCATTACCCGAAGGCGGGAGTACATGCCACGCTACGGACACAGCCTTCTATATGGGCTTACGTACCTCGCAAGGGCACGGCCATATCAGGACTTAAGGAGACTTGCCTCACAAGGGCAACCGTATTACATCGACGGGGACAACCGTACCGACAGCCGTAACAGCTCGCGTCGATAGGCTACATATTTCATATTCATACATAGATCGTACCCATAAGAAATAAATATTCATCAATCATGGCATAGACAATTTTAGATTAGAACCCACCTGGAAGGCAGCAGCAAACATAGAGCGAGGCTCGAGTAAGCGGTGAGGTCAACACCTCAAAACACCTACACGAAATCAAGATAGCCTCTCGATTACAATCAATTCCAACGAACACAGAAACTTAGTCAAAACTCGTCGACTAAGTGGCTCGTGGAAAGTTCTCGTGGAGTTATGGAACATTTCTACACGACTCTACATCAAGCATGGGAAGACACAAAATAGGACCAACCGATTTCAAAAAGCACTCGACCAATTTACGTGAAACTTTTACACATTAAAATAGACCCATAAAGGCACATGTTCACAAGGTTTCAGATCCAACTCTTCAGTTTAACACAATCAACCAATTTTTACAAAAAGACGACGAAAATCTGAACTTTCTAGTTCACCGGGCAATCCTTTGAATTTTTCAACGAAATTTGGACACAACACACATAACATCAGATTACTAACACTCACAAAAATCACAGTAAAATACCAAGAATTCGATTTTTAATGATTTTTCAAAGTTTCTGCCCAAAACTTCAAATTAATGATTTTTCAAAGTTCCATGAGGCCAAAGACTTCAAATGTTCCAATAATCCAAGAGCCAACCACGAGTTAATAACAGATCGTAAGGGTTTCACATTAAACCCTAAGGATCTATTTTATTTGTATTTGAATAATGTCTCAACTCAACATATAACTATATTAACCCAAGCATATAGTTGAAAATACGCATGAAATCGAACAATACCTAGGAAACCTACCCATTACCATACTCCGCTGAGGAGGAGACGGGGTTAGGGCTGGATACGGTACTCTCCGTAGTGGGGTACGATCCGAAGTCCATTTCTAATGGTACCTCCTTACGTTCCCATTTTCTGCCAAGGTGTGCGACCACTTCAAACATGTTTAAGGTAGGGTGATCCAGAAAGACTAGTGGTTTTCTCCTCCGGTGCTCATCACGCATTCCTACAACCACACTCTTCCACGGTTGGGGTATGATTTGAGCAAGCTTATCTACACCGTCTTTGTGATCGACAATGGGGTTTTCACCTATAAGCAAGGTGTACCACAAATCGTACACTTCTTGAACGCATATCCTAACGTCGTTTGGCCGAGAGGGTTTGAAATCCACAAACTCCTTTCTTTTCTTCCGATCTATATCCGACATGAAACCTTCGAGGCTGAAGACCTCCGAGCTCGACCCGGCACTCGAACTATTACAGTGCATCCCGGCTATGAAGTCCCGTACCAACGCAAAGAGAGGCGTTTCGGCCCTTAGGATGGAACCCGAATGATAAAACCCACAAACCTCGGGCGGTTCACGCTCGGCCTCGGTCCATGTTGCGACCGATACGAATCTCACAAGAGATAGCGACTGTGGATCGAGAAAATGGGAGGCTGGCCACGAAATCAAGGGTTCGAAGATGATCGAACGGCCCGAAAGAGACCCACGACAGAAAGATGGTCGCGACATGAACGATCAACGACGGTTGCGTGCTCGGGAGGCGGCGGCTAAAAGTGCTGTTGGCGAACCTGTTGTGGCGGCGTCGGGTTGCTGTTGGTCCGGCGATGGGCAGAGGGCCTGCTGGAAGGGGAAAGGTTCACGCTGGATGTTGCTCGTGGTGGCCTGTTCTCGAATGGAAAATCGCCGGCATCGTTGCACGCTTGATGAGAGGTTGCAGCGAGGTGACGGGGCCTGCGAGTCGCGGCCTCTCTGGCGATGACGAACAACGGATGGTCTCAGACGTGGAGGAGGGCGGCGACCTGTGGTGCTGCAATTGGAGAACTCGCCGGAGGGAGGGACTTGCAGGTAAGGGCGATTTGAGGGATGATGATGATGATTATGGCGATGATGGCAGAAAACTCTCAGTTTCGTGTGCTGATCGGGGAAGGAGAAGACTCCCAATTTTCCCTTTTCTTTTCCTTGAAACGTGCGAGAGAGAGAGAGACTTGAGGGGAAGGAAAAGAGATATGGAAAGTTTTCATTTGGCAAAGATCTTAATGGGATAATTAAGTCAATGATGACTCAATTTAATTGACATTATCTTTAAATAAAATAGCTACTAAAGGGGAAGGAATTAAGCTTAAAACAAAAAAAAATCCTTCCCCTACCTAAAATGAAATTTTAAACACACTTGGTGAACAAGAAATCTCGAGAGATCGGTTCTCCATCTCGGTTTCATAATTAATATAGTCGAGGCTCGATAATAATCATACGATAAATAAAATTAAATCGGGTATTTATATATATATATATATCACATATAATAATATTTATTCATATTACACATTAAATATATAAAATCAATTAGACAGTTAATAATAATAATAATAATAAATAATAATAATAATAATAATAATAATAATAATAATAATAATAATAATCTAAAATCAAACGGGGCATTACAAAGCTCTTGCCCGATAGTTCCGATTTTATTGGGTTTATACTAACCCTCAAATTAAACGTTGGATCTTCTTTTATGGTTGATGAAAATTCAGTCTTGGACTAATAAAATTCCAATTTTAATGGGCTTAGTATAAGATAATGTAATGATCAACCGACGTTATTTTGGGCCGATTAAAACAAATATTGCTCTATATAATATCAAGCCCCTTTAATATTACAACTCTATTAGATATTAAGTCCATTTAAATAATATTAATTTATATCTTATTATAAATATTTTTTAAATTATTCTTGATTTATTATAATTTAATATATATTTTTATTTAATTGTATATCTTAATTTCAAGATTCTTTTACCTTCGTCAATATAAAAAATGAAATACAGAATTCAAAAAAATTTAAAATCTATTACTATAATAAAAACAGGAGGTATTTACTTGAATTGGATAATATTTGGATTTATCTTCTAATTTCATCAGTAATTTCACAAATGTTGGACATTGAATAAAACTACATGATAGATTTGCATAAACCTCTATTGATAAAAAATGATGGTATACAACAATTAAGTTTATATGTTGAGAAATATTAGGAACATATATATCGTATATAGGATACCACTGGAAAAAATATAATAAATTTTGTTTAAATGGTGATTTAACCATATTATATACCAAATTTTGTGTAATGTGTGGTATATGTCTATTATTTAAGGTATAATAATATTATTTAAATAAAAAGTATTTGTAAATAGAGGTTAAGAGGGTGTAAAATATGAGTTCCTACGTGCATCGCACGGGATACGCACTAGTAATTTAAAAAGAAAATTCAAAAACTGCCAAAAGCAGAATGCAATAAATGTTGGTTGACTTTTTTTGTTACTATTTTTGATAAATTGGTTCTCTCTTTATATATATAGATAAGTTATATAATATGCATTTTTTTATCGTTATATATTATGCATATATTGATATAACATATAGGGTGTGATTGGTTGGGGTGATAAGGAGGGATATCACACATTTTCTTAAGCATTAAATACATTTATGATGTTTGGTTCAACATGACCTGGCCCTTGAAATTGACGAGGCCCTGTTTGAGTTATAAGACATGGCAGTATAACACATCACGTGGAAAGGGTCGGATACAATTTCCCATGTCAATGTTATGGTTTATAGAAAGACTAAAATGCCCTCGTATAAAAGCATGCCTACTAAAAATCGAGCTGCACTTTTCAAAATTCATCTCGACAAACCCTAAGCTCCTCTGCTCCTCAAGGTCACGAAGGTAAGCGAGCTGAACATTTGCTTTTTTTTTTTCGAGAAATCATTGAATGACGATTCCTTTGTTGATATATCTGTTGTTTGTGTAAGTGTGCGGTGCTTGTCCTATTTTTGTTGCGTTTTTCTTTATTGTTTTGTCTTTCTTTTTTCCCCATGTTAGGTCTTTTTGTCGGCTTTTTTAGCTCGTTTTAGTATTTATTGTGTGTTTCGTGCTATTTTGGTTTTCTGTGTGTTTTTCGCATATTTTTTCCGTTTTTCTTTGTTTATGGTGTGTAGGTCGGAAGCCTCGGGAGGACCGGATTTTAGGCGAAGATTGATCGTGTAAGCATATTTATATAGAGCGTTTCGTTGGCATCACACAGGAGGAGCCAGAATCAAATTCCAAGCTCAAATGAGTTCAAACGGCTCGAGACATGAAGACATGCACAAGCCCGAGACATGAAGATTGCACGTAAGCTCGCAGCTCCAACCACCGCACCGCGCCAGCCAGCTCCCTGCGTCGTACCGTGCCGCGTCGTACCCACGAGATGGACAGAGGATCCAACGTCCTTCCTGTTGGGACATATGAGGATCTCGATATGCACAAATCACGGACAAACATTCAACATAAACCTATGTGCAGCGGATCTAAAGGTTTGATGAAGAAAACTTACTGCTTACAATTTATGTAGATCTGGCTGGCCCGAACAGTTGACCGCAAATCAAATCTTCTCGGAATCGAACAAACTTGACCAATCCAGAAAGCTGACGTCACGGCGAAGTCAACGGCGTTGACAGATCGGAAAACGGAGGTCTCACGCGCTCTCACGCGCTCGTGTAAGTCCCAGCAACCGCTTCCTTCCGGCGGCGCGTGACGACGCGTGCGGCGTCGGCTGGCGGCGATCTCGACGGCGATCTCTTCGTCTCGTCGTCCTGGTCGTCGTGGTATGGTCACTTGCTGGTTTTGGTCTCCGGTTTGAATGTATGATAGATCTGATTGGAATCCCGTATATACCTTAAGTCTTCTACTGTATTCTCAAACAACTATCTAGATCTTGTATCAGTGGAGCACAAGAAATAGAACTACTCCTTGGAAGAGAGAGAGAGAGAGGGGGCGGACGACTTCCCAAGTTATGGGATTGTGTTCTTCTTCCATGAGCTTAATACTGTATATATAGAGCTACAGTAGGGACCCTAAGGAGAATAGGATAAAGGGTTTCTAATATATTAATACTGTGGAGCAACCCCACAATTAATATATTATTAATATTAAAGTCTACCACAATAATATTATTGCACTCCCCTCACCTATCCCAAATTACATTTGAGACTCCTTATTATAATTATCCAATTTACCTCCCCATGTTTAAGATATAATGTCCATTAATTAATTCGATCACTAATAATCAAGAATTAATTAATATATTATATTACCGAAGCTAGCGCTCGCTCATAGAATTCATATTATGCCGGAATAAATCCACCTGCAGGGTTTAGCATAATATTCCTTCATGAACTCACTTCGGGGACATCATCATACTAACGCACATGGTGACCGTAAATATCCTAATAGCACATCGAACACACAATGTTATTACCCAATTCATTAAGTATGTCGACCCGGCTTGGATCTCACCCAAAGAATCAAAGCAACAACAATTATGTGCACATGCCTATTTAATATCTTACGGGTTAAGAGCACGCAATAATTAACCGAGGCCTAGTCCGTTTACGATGATTAGTATAAAACGAACATCCATCTCTGGGATCCTGTTTAATACATAAATGTACTAGTGCAACTAATCGGTCAAGACAAACCATACGGTTGACACTACAACCGTTCCGATGGGTTGTTCAATTCCATCTAGGTTGTGAACCAACGATTCTTGTTTCGCAAGTAACTGATATAGTGATCTTCGGTACGCCCGATGATGACCCACTTATATACATGCAAAACAACAGAACGTGGAACTTATTTAACCAAACATAATTCTAATTCATCAACAAATAACAAGTGTAATATCCACTAAAGCAAAGCTTAAGTATATAACACCAACAATCTCTCACTTATACTTAAAGCTGTCGCTTTACTAGTATAGTCCTATCAATCCGTATCCTAAAAGACCTATGTCGATCCTATCACCATACATTTGACTCCCATTACCTCTACGTGTTTGTCGAAGACCTTCTCCGGCAAACTCTTCGTAAAAGGATCAGCTAGGTTGTCTTTTGATG